TCAGCATAGCCCGTGCACATTCCAATTACCGTTCTAAACCCATTGCGAAAAACGACGCGTTTCACGGCAGTTGGATGCGCGTAGTGTAGCTGAACCAAGCTGTTCTTCGAACTACATCACAGTACCATTTTACTCGAGTGATGCCATTGGATACGTTATGACTGTTTGTGTTAACCCATTGCGTACCGCGTGCTGCACCATGTGCAGCACGCCCGTTTGCCTCTGTATGGCCGCGTGCTACACATGGTGCAGCACGCTTCGTTTGAACTTATTTAGCATTACTAGATGACTCAAGAGTGTCAGTATATTTGTGAAGTCTCCCGGAAAGAAATATATGTGTGGGAAATTGCGGGACCAAACTAGAGCTAAGTTATCGAAATTTTTTTGGGAAATTATTCAGCTACTATATCCTTTGTTTATTTCTTAGTAACCAGTCAAGCCGAAACTCTGGCTGTGACTCCACTAAAAATTCGCAAAATAGTAAAGCTGAACTATTTATAAACATATTACATCCCATTTCCAATCCTTCTTAAAATTATCAACCTTTTTGTCAACTTTCGCTTGTTTTTAGCTCATCACTTTTATCACGTAATAGTATCCAATTCTACTTATCATAGTCATGCATTCAAGAGTAATGTGTAATACGAAGTATATGCAATATTTTTATGTCATATGTGTATGAAAAAATCACATTTGTTTATACTCGGCGCGCCACGAGTCGCGTCGACAAAAAGGCGTCGGCCACAGGCGCCCGTTTTCGCGAAAACGCCGCGGTACGCAATGGGTTAATTAGGGTAGCCAACCGTCTTGCGGGATTTCCCGTGTGCGGGATGTACTCTGACTGTTCATTCATCAAGCGGAAACACTTCCCCATTTCGGGCTATGTTGATGTTAACATGCAACAGTCTTTTATATATCTACAGTTTTCCAGTTTCTTGACACGAATATGGGGCTCGCTTCCCAAAAAAAACGTTGAGAATTCCGCCGCAGGCCTCAACATGTTCAAGTCTTTCTCTAGGCCGGGAGCAGTCCGAACTTGTTGCCATCATATCACAAATAATTTTTACACGCACTCACGGACTAGTACTGATGTTTTGGCAATATTGCGACTGAATCTCCTTTCAAAAGTGTTCCTGAGAAAATATCAAAATGCTAACCAAACAAGAAAGCGGGAACTATTGCTCTCGAAAAGGAGGTTCGAGATCGGGTGGCAGAAAATTTGATGTCATGAATTTCATCACCAAAGGCCCCTTTACCTAGGAATTCCACCTAGTTGGATTTTTTGAAGAGGCATTACGGCTCTGGAACTGAATACATATTTGTGTATGGATCGACAAGGATGACTGTATGTAAGCCGGAGATAAACAAGCAATCTGAATTCGTTAACACTAAAGTCTAAGCGAGAGGAAGAAAGGTCAAATTGAGTTACTGAGTGATCTTCTGAAAGTACTGAATTTTAGTAGGGAAAGGGTACGGCCCGGAAGCAAGTTGAAGCTTGTGCGAATTCTGTTGCAGGAAAACTTCAGAAACTTGATCCCAGAGTTGGGATCAAGGACTGCGGTTGAAATCTGTATCTCTATATCGCAAATTGAAAATGTGATTTTCAGTCGAAGGCGAACTTCGAGTCTCGTTCTCCTTCAATGACGAAGATGGCCAACAACGACAGCAGTTTCAAACGTGATGATACTCCAGCTACCGTTGATCTGGCTCGTCCCGATTCAAGGTGAATGCTGTTCCTACACCAGTATTTGTTCTGACTAATTGTGCTTCTCTTAGATCGGAGCTCACTCTGTTGAAAGCTTCTGAATCAAGTAGTAGTATGTCGAACAATCATCAATCACCAGCTGTTTCCCATGTAGATGCTGGTTCTGAGGTCACTCCTGAGCAGCACGTTGACAAAGGCAAGAAGGCTGAAGCGGCGGAAGCCACTACGAAGCCGATGAAGACCACCGCAGGTAATTATGGATTACATTTTTTGTTGATAATCAGTCAATAGCGATATACAATGCCATAATTCAGTTAGGCGGTGTAGTGCTGGCATTTTATATAAGCCTTTTTTGTGAGCCTTATGTTCTTTTCCTGATCTGGTGACAGCTTTCGATCGATTTATGCCGATTTATTTGTAGCTCACTACTTCTCCTTAGGTCACATCGCAGTCTGCAGACTCTAAGTGCAGGGCATCATTAATAAGTTGCAATCATTAAGGAGAGCGACCGCACCATTTTGAACTGAACCGGATAAATATACCAGAAGAGAAGACGAAACTTTTGATCTGCAATAGGCTTTATGATCGTGGGTGCACCACGAATGAGTTAGTGACTTGCTAATATGACGCACTGGAACTTGTGCAGAACAAAGAGTAGTATACCACCTCTACTGCTCAACCTGCGGCGAATTTTGTGTTGGTGAAACGGGCAGAATTCTGAGCTTACGTATTCAAAAATTTTCTAGAAGACAAGAAGCGAAGAGACTGTTCACCAACAGGGCGAGAGTCAGGCAATAATAGAGGAAGTAGAGGCACTAGTGGCGATGTGTTATGCACAACTTGAAACCATCGTTACTTCGGAGTGATAGCTGTTT